TAACATAGTCTAGTTGAAAAGCATACCAGCTAGTGGAGAGGAAAGAGTGTAGAAGGAGACAAAGAAACGGAAGTGAACACACAAAGGTAGAACCACTTAATTGGAGAGAACATTATAAATCATTTTGCCCAATCTTTTCTGTGACCAAGGAGGGAACTGAGGCCAGAGAAGTTAGATGGTTTACCCAAGATCAGAAAGTTAGCTAATAGCAGAGAAGGATTTGAAACCTGGATTACTGCCAGCACTACCCGTCAGACAGAAACACATCGAGAAAGAGAGTGAGGGAGGAAATAGCAGGTTCCGGAACCGGATGCTGCACTAGCTTGCGATTATGCACAGTTCATTGGCTCCCCCGCTCCCCAGGCAGCTGGCCTTGCTGCCCCTTCAGTGTGTTCCAGTCCAACATAAATGAACTTCAAATGATCCTTGTAACATTCAGGAAGAGCTTTATTCATAAATTCAGTTGTGGAATGAAGTATTTTCTTGTAGAACTCTACAAGATTTGATATGCATATAAAAAAGACAGTGCTTCAGACTGTTAATTTTTAATATCAAAGGCATTGACCAGCTAATTTTCTGACTTCAAAAAATTATACTGACAGCCATTGCCTAAACTGATTTTCTTGCTTTTATTCTTGGAAAGATTAGAATTGTTCAGTCATGCAATGCCTGAAAACTGTGATTTTTTTTTTTTTAAGAAATCTGTATTTATAACACTGTTTACAATCTTTTGTTTCCAAATCAAATTCAGGGAGAATGAACATGTGTGTAATTAATTCCTGCTGGGAATTGTTTTTTAAATATAACTTTAAAGCTCTTCAGAGATTAAAAAAATGAATAATTTATATCAGAGGTGGAATTTCTAAATTAATTTGTACATTTTATTTTTATATGACCAGGATTCACACAGTTTTCTTTTCCCCTTGCCTGATGTTCTATTTTTGAAACTATCATGCTACACTATCTAATAAGGTAGCCACTTGCCACATGATTATTTAAATGTAAATTTATGTTAATTAAAATTAAATCAAATTTAAAATCTATTTTCTCAGTCACACAAGTGTCCATTAGCCACATATAGCTAATGCCTATTATTCTGAACGGAGCAGATACAGAACATTCATCATCTCAAAATGTTCTGGTGGACAACACTTATGGATTGATAACATTCTGTCTCTTCTGGGTGCCCTTTTTTGGCCAAATAATTCTAAAAGAAGCCAGAGGTTCTCTGCATGCATTTTAGAAACACATCACATAGTCCACACACCTAAACATGGTGATGTCATAGATAATGTCACAAATGAACAGAGCTAATGTCCTGTGAACCACGTAGGTAGTAGTCTTAGGGTAAGTGGTTCCATAGGAGGTAGTTTGAAAGTTTGTGCGTAAGTCAACGTGGAATTTAAAAGATATTTGCCCACAGACCAATGTTGCAAATCAAGAAACCAAACCTTAATACTTTCTGAGATGAAAATTAGTGGAAATAATAACCAGCAGAAAATCAATAATCAAATCTCAGGGTTTTGGGCAGGGAGTGTGGCAGAGCACTTGCTTAACATGAGCAAGGTTATAGGTTCAATCTCCAGCATCTCAAAAAAAGAAAACACACACACCATCTACACCTACACACACAGAAAATAAGGTTAGATTAGTTCCTAATCTAATTACCCAAGAATACAAAATCTTATTGGAAATTAGGAAGTTTCCAGGACAGGAGTAGATGGGGCAGATCTCAGCCTAGCTTCCCTGCCCCTGGGGACCCTAGGGAAATCTCTGACCTAGGAAATTCTCAGGGTAGGAAAAGATCTTACCACATCTGTAATATTCTTTTTTTTTTCTTTTTAAACAAGGCCTTGCTATGTAGTTCAGGCTGGCCTTTGAACTCTGTGGCTTCAAAATCATGACCTTTCTGCCTCCACCTCCCAAGTGCTAGGATCCAAGGCAAGTGCAACCACTCCTGCCAAGGATTTGGTGTGGTTTAGTTTGTTTGGTTCGGTTTGTTTGGTTTCTGTGGTATTGAGAACTGAACCTCGTAGGCAAGTGCTGCACCACTGAGCTACAGCCCCAGTCCTGTAAGATCAAATCCTGCTGCCCTTTCTAATCACAGTTTCCATCAGTAGTCTGGGAGAACTGACTCCAAAGACTGCTGGTAGGTCTATTACTTACTGACATCAGACGTTTCTGGAGCTCTGGTCACACCCAGCATCACCAAAGCAGCATCCTCCGCCCAGAGAAAGCAGCAGAGTTGATACTTCTGCCTCAAGAGGCCTGTTTTCCTAGTCCATCCCCACACTCTAACTTTCTGCCTTTTTGTCTGGGTGGTTCAAAGGCCGAGTTATGACTGAGGCCTGTGCTCACTAATCCACTTCCCCATAAAATAAAATCAAGCTAGAAAACAATAAAATTGATCTTGGAAGTTGATTCTTGGACTATAAGGCAGGTTTAATTAGAAGAGATAAGTGAAAATCTGTGCAGTGGTTCTGTGCAGACTTTAGAGACTTCCAAGAGCTCTCACCACTGATGGGCATGATTGTACTTTTTGTTCTTATTTTATTTTCAGACTCGCAGCTTTGCTTCCCTTGGCAATGGGAGATCACTACACTGCTCATATAAGCAGATTTATATTTTTCTCACAATTTGGAGGAAGAGGAGAGAGTGAATTATTTCCCAGGAGACAAGCAGAAATCAGAAAAAGAAGAAAAAACAGCCACATATAAATTGCCCTAAAGAACATAGTGTTTTTTTTCAATTTTTCTTTTCTTACTTAATTCATAAAATGATTACAGTGCCATATGTAGAGCCCTCTCCTGTTATCAACAATCACATATTACTACTTGGAGCTGTAGGGATGATGTCAGGATCTGAATACCAGAAAACACTTGAGATGCACTTAATGTACTTTATCATGGTAACCCATTAAATGAATTAATGATTTTGTTAACTTCTTTACACTTATCTTGAACTTCAGACAGAAAAAAAGAGTTGAATAATGGGAGAGAGATTATGAGATGGATATTTTTCTCCATCCTAATTAGCAAAATTGTCATCAGTCAGTTTCAGGTCTAAGCCACCAGCCCCTTTCCCTGCAGCACACTTACAATTTAGGATAACTGGAAGTAGGAGATTATCAGAACTCCTGTTTTCATACTCCTCTTCAAAAAGAGGAAGGTGGTTATAAGGATCCTGGGCCTCTTGAAGAATACGAGAATAGTTGTAGGATAATGCATAAGACCTAATTTAATTAGAAGTATGAGATCCCAAGTGGATCAGGTGGGATAGTCTAGCTTGTGCATGAGCAGATTAATAGACTCCGAAGTTTAGCAGACCTCTTAAGAATCACCAAATGCTAACCACAGCACTCCACCTCCCTGTGACTTCAACCTTGTCACAATCACTAGAACACCTTGGATGTTTTCCTAGGCTTATGGAAAGTGCTATTCAAATACACTTTTACTATGAGTCCTGTCCACAGCCCCTCTCCAGCCAAAGTGCTTCCCTTTATATCCCCTTTCTAGAAAGTCTGTCTACCATTGACCAACTACCTTCATTTTATACATGTAAAAACTGAGGCCCAGAAAGGGGCTATAATTTGTTTAACTCAAAGACCATTCGGAGGCAGGATCAGCCACCATTTCTTTGAAAGTCATAAGCCAACTGCAGGACCTGAATTCTCTTTGACAAATTTGGGGCCCCATTTTTATCTAGAGATCACCCAAGAAACAGCATTTCTGGATCACTGCTTTAAAATGTAATTCATTCTGTCTCTCTGTGCCTGTCTGTCTGTCTGTCTGTCTGTCTCTCTCTCTCTCTCTCTCTCTCTCTCACTTTGTGCTGGTGATACTTGGGAACCCAGAGCCTTCAAAGTGAGCTACAGCCCTAGCCCTTTTTTTAATGTTTTATTTTGAGACAGGGTCTTGCTGAGTTGCAGGTTGGGCTTAAACTTGTGATCCTCTTGCTTCAGCTTCTCAGAATACTGGGATTACAGCAGTACACCAGCATGGTCAGTGCAGTCATGTGTCCCTTAATGACAAGGATACATTCCCAAAAATGCATTTTTAGGTAATATTGTCAATGTAGTCTAAGCAAACACCATCAAACATTACACAAACCAACATGGGATTGGCCAATCACCCAATGTGGTCTTTTTATTTTAGTTTTTTTTGTTTATTTGTTTGTTTGTTTTGAGACAAGGTCTCACTATTTAGTTCAGGCTGGACTTGAACTCACTATGTAGCCCAGGCTGTCCTCAAACTTGAGACAACTTGGGATTACAGGCATGCGCCACCACGCCTGGCCAATGTGGTCTCTTGATGTAGCAGAATGTAGTAAATATGAGATATATTATGAAGCTGCTGCCAGCATAACATGCAATACTGTTTTACAGTAAAGTGTTTTTAGAGGTTGAAGGAGCACGCTCTACAATAATAAAATTAGCCATTTATTATATCACTACCAAACATCATCTGTGTGTATAATTGTGTGTGCTGTACTTCTTTATGAATAGCAGTGCAGGCATTTATGCACACCAGCCTCTCCACGAGCACGTAAGTAATGTGTTACACAAGGCTGTTCTCTCAGCTGCGACCTCACTAGGCAATGGTAATTTTTCAGCCCCATTCTAATGTCCTGGGGCCAATATCACATATTCAACAGTGACTGAAACATCATTTTTCTGGCACCTGACTTTATTTCCTCTTTTATTTTTCTGCATTCTGGAATTTGGCCTCTATTTCTGCATGGAAAAAGAAAATCTGTTGTCCCCACATAAGTCTTTGCCTTCCTAAAGGGTTTTATGGACTCACATCATAGTGCCACTCACTTAACACTGCCTTAGCTTCACACAGTCACCACGAATTTCGCTGGGGGGTGCTAATTATTTCTACTCTTTCTACTTTTTCTTCTAGTTAACATTATACTAATGTCTTTTTCTAATTCTTTGAATGAACTCTTTTTAACAAATTAGAGGCTCCTGGATGACAATCTCTTGTTTCTTCTTACAGTTCCTTATCAGCAGAATCCCTATAACCCCCGGGGCAGCTCCAACGTCATCCAGTGCTACCGATGCGGAGACACCTGCAAAGGGGAAGTGGTTCGCGTCCACAACAATCACTTCCACATCAGATGCTTCACCTGTCAAGGTAAGAAGCAAGGTCTCCAAGTTCTCCTCTAGGATTCCTGACCACACTTTCTAGTGGAACTCGCCTCAGGAGCAGGAAAACAGACAGAGGCAGTTAGCATACCTAAAAAAGCCTGAAGAGACTTTCCCTGAGCTGCTTCTTAAGAGAATTCTCCCTTAGGCAGTGGGCAACAAAGGAGATTAGAGTGAAAGGGTGTTCATATGTGGGGGAGGAAGAGAACAGTGACCATAGAGGGGTACCAGCTGGCCCAGGGGAGAAATAGTCCAGGAAGCTTAACTTAAACATCTAAAAAGACTCCTGGCTGTGCCTACAAATCAACTTGAGAGCAAATGGTAGCACAAGCTATCTTGGCTAAATCCAGCCTGGCTCTGAAATGATGATCACTTGTCCTGCAGCAGGGTGACAGTTCTCAAAGGTTAGGTTTTACAAGGGGAGATACCCATCCTGACTTTAGTAAGATTTGTAATTAGAATCCGACAGATACTGAGTTACTTCTAATCATTGCCGCTTACTCATGGCTAGTTTACAGAATTCTAGACTCAACCTAGCTCAGAGTTTGAAAAAAAGCAGGACAGTAGCAGCAGGAAGAGAGAAAGCATGGGGAGTCCTCTGGCCCAAGAGGCCACCCTCCTTCCCACAGTGTCACCGACCCTTGCCTCTCCAGCCACCACTCCTGTACCTTTGCTGCAGGCTCCCCTGCTCATGCAGCGGCTGCTCTCGTGGTAGATTGGTTGTGAGTTCAGGAAGCATTTGACCTAAAATCTGTATCTTCCACCTGCTGATCACAGGTTTGTCCTCATAGAATGAGGAGAAATACTTTGCATTTGCTTTTCCTTGTGACTGCCCTTCAGATACTTGTAACTCGTTCTTTCTATGTCCAACTATATTGCAAGTCCTCTAATCAGGACCCATCTGAAATTCCAATCTGTGTCACCATCCTAGACTCTTCCTCTTTGATCCATTTTAGTCTATCACTGGCATCCTGAAAGCAGGACACCCAGAACAGATCTGAGTCTAGCAAATATAGCAAGGACTGTATTTCTGTTCGTGCGTCTGATGCTGAATTGACTTCCTCAGGAGGCACCTGACACCAATGACTTGTACTGAATTTATGGTCAGTTGAAGCCCCTGGATCTTTTCATATCGGTCACTGCCTCTATCTCCTGTATCTGAGACTGACTTTCCCTACCATTTAAAGAAAAATCTTGAACTTCTTTCTTTAGTACCCAGCTGGCTCTTCACTGAGAAAATAAATTATGCATTCATATTTCCCATTTGCCTATATCTTATTGGCAATTAAGCATGTATCTTTACTGATATGGTTTAAATTTTATACTGTGAATTGGCAAACCCCTTTAGTACAAACTGAGCTTTAAGAGTACCTTATGAGTGACTATTTTTACATGCTTAGAAACTGAAGCAAGACAAAGACTAAAGACAATAAAATTGTTACAAGGGGGCTTGGGATATGACTATATGGTTGTATTCTTGAGTGTTACCAGTTACCCTTTGCTTAAACCAAGTGTGATAGTTGATCTGTCCCTCCACATGGCTTCTCGTCTCCCAGCAGGCTGGTTTGGACTCAGTCATATGGTGGGCTCAGAACTCTAACTGCAGCAGGAGAGTAAGCCTCAGTTTGTGTATCATGTGCCAAAGTCCTGATGTTGGCAAAACAAGACACAGGTCATGGAGAAGAGACTTTGCCTTTTGTGGGAGGACATGCACCATCTGATGTCAAGGGTGTGAACATAGAAAAGGGAATAATTGGGCCACTTAGTATCTACCACAAAGGAGCTGTAGAGACTTTCAATGGAGATTTAAGGGGAAAAACAGGCCATTATTTTTCTGTATATTTTATATTTTCACATGCTTAGAGTTAAAACAAATGGTATAATTTGTGTTTCCAGCTGTAATCAGTAAAGAGATCAGTTACCCTAATGAGGCTTCTTATTTAAAAATTCTAAAATTTCTGTGCATTTTCGTTACAATGCTTCACACACACTACTGTGCTGGCATGAAAAGAAAAGAATTGGTAGAGGTCAAAAATAAAAATGAAAGGAGAAATCCTGGTGTGACTCCTGATGCCCGATTTTACCCAGTAGTTTATGCTAACTGTTGGAGACCTTGAGGTTTTACTTTAATATCCAGGTGGATCACGGAGAAAAAAGTATAATCTGAGAACCTGGCAAAAGTGAGAACTTGGTAGGAGACTTCTGTGTATAACTGGTGTTTGCCCCTGCAGAGATCTTGGTGTATGAAGGGTGGGAAATAATGTGGCTCTGGCAAAAAAGACTGAAATGAAACTTACCTGTCCCAATTTTGGTACTGGGTAGAAGGGGCTAAAACTGGTATAAAACTGTATTAGTAACACATCCATTACATGATTTCTGGATGATATTTGTGCCACGTATTTGGTATAGATTTAAAAATCAAGCAGAAAATTTAAAAGAAAATCCCACACTTGACAGTGTCAGAAGCAAACAATCATCTTCTTTGGAGCAACTCAACTTTGCTTCAGTCCTCAAAGAATTCCCATAAAGGATGTTACTAGGAAAATTAGTAACTGACAACCAAAATCGCACAAATCCTAATGGAGACAGAATTAGGAGAAACAGTGAAGAGCAGAATCAGGACCTCAAAGACTTGGTATATTGGAATTTAATATAGTAACTGTATAATAAAATCTTTCAAGAAAACATACAAGATAATATTAAAATATAAAAGACACACACCTACACACATCAGAGTGAAACTTCTGATTATCAAAGAGAAAGATAATCTTAAAAGTAGCCAGAGATAAATGACAAATCATGTCCAGGGGAATGATAAATACAATGACAGCTGACTTTCAATAGCATCCAGAAACTAGAAAACAGTAGAATAATATCTCCAGTGTTCTGAAAGAAATAACTGTCAAAGTAGGATTACGTATTCAGTAGAACTGTCTCTCTAGAACAAAGGCAAGGCCATAGATAACATTATATGTATTGGTGAAAAGCAGAATGTTTCCCTGTAAGGTTAAGAACAAGACAATGATGTCTGCTCTCACCATTTCTTCATGCTAGGTTTAACAGGCAGGAAATGAAATAAAAGGCTCCAAATTGAAAAGGAAGAAGAAAATTTATCTTTATTCGTGTAACATGATCTTGTATATAGTAAATCCTAAAGAATGCACTAAAAAAACTTTTGGAAAAAAAATTCTTCAAGGTTTCAGGATGCAAGATCAAGACCAGTGTACCCAAATCAATTGTATTTCTATACATTGGCAATGAACAATCTGATAATAAAATTGAGAAAACAATTCTATTCAGAATAGCTTTAAAAATAAAATACATTGGGATAAATTTAGAAAACTAAGTGCAAACTTTACACTGTGGCAACTACAAAACATTAAAGAAGTCCTAAATAAATGGAACATCATCCATATTCATGAATCAGAAGACATAATATTTCAAGATAGCTGCACTGTTCAAATGGATCCATTAATTTAATGCTATTTTAGCTCACATTACCATAACAAAATGCCGTAGGCTATGTGGCTTAAATAACAGAAATTATTTTCTCATATTTCTGAAAAGCTAAAAAGTCCAAGATCAAAATGCCAGCCTGATTGGATTCTAGTGAGTTCTCTTCCTAGCTTGCAGAGAGCCACCATCTTGCTGAACCTTCACTTGGTAGAGGGAAAAACAGAAAGGCAGAGAGAAAGAGTATTGTGCCAGTTAATATTGACTGGATTAAGAGGTTCCTTTAGAAGTGATTGCATTGAGAGGTGACTGACATCATCAATGGGTTTGCCATTATGAGTTCATAGCTGAATAGACCATTAGGAGGTGGGGCCTAGTTGGAGGAAGTGGGTCATGGGGTCATGACCCCCCAGGACTATATCTGGTCCCTTTCCCCTTTTTCTCTGGCTCTTCTTTGCTCTCTCTCTCTCTCTCTCTCTCTCTCTCTCTCTCTCTCTCTCTCTCTCGGCTTCTCAATACCATTAAATGAACAGCTTTCCTCTGTCATGCCCCTCTGCCATGATATTTCTGCCTTGGAGCCAGCTAACCATGGACTGAAACCTCTGAAACTGTAAGCCACAATAAACCTTTTCTCCTTTAATTTGTGAGTATCAGATATTTTTCCTCAGCAGCAAAAACATGACCAATATAGAAAATTGGTACTGAGAAGTGGGGTTGTTACTGAGAATGGAATTGTTACCAGCCTGTAGGAGAAGCAGGCCAGAAGAGCCCTAGAATGATGTAAGCAGGACTTGATGGGTTCTGGTGGTACCTCAGAAGACTAGAATGCTCTTATTGGGTATTTAATTCCAGTGACAAAAAGCTAATCAATACAGGTACTAATCCCAACATGAAGGCTCCACTCTAAAGACTGCATATAAACCTAATTACCTCACAAGGCCACATCTCCAAATACCATCGCATTAGACATTAGAACTTCAATGTGTGATCTTGCAAGGCAGCACAATTCCCCTTACAGAAATATTACCTTTATCGAAATCCCAGCTGGCTTCTTTAAAGAAATTGCCAGGGTGATCCTAAAATTCACATGAAATTGCAAAGGACACAGAATACCCAAGCAGTCTTCAAAAAGAAAAGCAAAATTGAAGGGTTCACTTTTCCTACTTTTAAAACTTCCTGTATGACTACCACCATACAGTGTGGTATGAGCACAAAGATAGACATATAAATTAATAGACTAGAGTCCAGAAATGACCACTTACTGTCAGTTCATTTTCAATGAAGGTGTCAAGACAATTCAACAGAAAAGGAATAGTCTTTTAAATAAAGATACTGAGAAGACTGAATATCTGTATGCAAAATAATGAAACTAGATTGCTTCTTCACACATAAAAATTAACTCAAAATGGATGAGAGACTTAGATAATACAATTCTTAGAAGAAAATATAAGAATAAATCTTTACTACCTTCAGTTGGCCACAGCCTTAGATATCACACAAAAACACAAGCACAAAGGAAAAATAGGTAAATGAAAT